ATAACTTACCGAATAATAGCTAAGATATAGCAGATTAAATAATTTCATAATTACAACAAACAAAATTAGTAATATAAATCACAATAAAATAGAACAAATAATCTAATTAGTAGAGAATAAAAATTCAATTGAACTTTAAAAAAATCGAGGTATGTGTGAATTTAGTTTCCTTAAAACAGATTATTCTCATCACCGTCGGTGCTTGAGATTTAATTTGAACGTCTGTTTCTCATGATACAATGATAAACCAGTAGAGACTGAGCACTACAGATTCTACTCCGACGAATTGGCTCGGTATCTAAACATATCACCACCAAGACGTTGACAGACAGTAAATTATGCACTGCAATGCAGATAGTGTATTCTTCATGTTTGGAACAGTGAAAAAACAAGGCTTCATATAGACTTGACCCCAGTAATGATGAGTTAAATCTGTCCATTAACTCAATGAAAATAACCAATCATGGTAGTTTTAGCAGTTTTAGAAACCAAAAGTCAGTTGTTGAAAGTAAAAAACTCGGCAAAACAAGGCCTTCCTAAGGAGCCAATTTTTTGTCAATTCGGTCTGACATTCCTATACGCAAATCTCGCCCGCACACAAGTTCTAGGTCCGAAACATATTTTGGTCTGTGATTTGCAACCCCACACGCACACTTGAAGATAGCCTCCATGCTACACATGATTACACACTTCCAAAGTGTAGCTATATATAAATTGGTTCTTACTTTCATAAACTTCCTATATGAGATAAACTCAAATTTAGTTTTTCTTCAACATAAACCATATTCCAATTGTCCACTTTGAACTCCAATTTCTCATTCACCCGAGCTTTATTTTTGACAAATAAATACATGATTTCGATATTCTCGTGAATGAAAACACAAATCAATGTTGATCTTCCAAAAAAAGCAAACGGGTCTCACTCAAAATTTATGCCAAAATCAGTCATTCACCACATTTTTTTCCAACAAATGGTTAATCATACTTGAAATGGGAATGCAAAAAAATATTGCATTGCCTATAAATTTAGGTAATTAAAGCAAAAGCGCGCTTTTAATGTTACAATATATCATGGACAATGCATTACATAATGGACTTAGGTATAGTGAGCAATTTTGACATATGATTAAAAAAAAGAAAAATATAAAAAAAAATAATTAGACTGATAATACATCCTCAAAATTCAACATGCTATCTCAAATTAGTCACGTGAAAGTTGTACAACGATTCACGAAATAAAATTGATGTTATGATTAAAAATTTGGGGCCAATCATCTAGTCAACATAGCGGTATTGTCTTTGAACGTATCACGAAACTATCTTGACAAACCTTTCTACAAAACAGAGCTCGTGTCAATCGAACGGGTTAAATGTGTCGAGTCAGGCCAGTCGCTCGACTCGAGACTCGATTAAGCTTGGTCCACCAGTAACTCGTCGTTTTTTTTTTACTGAAATTGTTTTTTTCACTCAACATGACGAGCTAGCAAATCGTAAATTTTTTATATAATTTTGATACAAAATTAAATTCGTATATAACTTTGAAACAAGGATAAAATCCATCTGGTGCTTGCGTAATTAATCCGCAAAATGATTCCACTTTACATGCAAATAAAATGGATGGTGCTACCCCTTTGGGGGTGGTTGAGTTGGTGGAGGAGGTGTACGTGGAGATCAAATGTTACGAGTTCAAATCTCCTGCTAACACTTCCTCGATCGAGCCTGTCACATCGGACTTGCCTAGTGCTATTTATCTCTCATGTGTGGTTTGCGTGCTATTGCACATGGTGTAGTGGAAAGTATTCATCAATAGTAGATCTTAATGCATGACTGTCGCATGTCGGCCCATTCGTGTCACACCACTTAACTTCCTTGCTATTAAGGGAAATTTGTTTCCTTCAAAGAATGACCCATTTTTTCCCTTAAAACTATTGAGGTGAGTACCTAACCGTAAACTTCAAGACCTCGTGGGATTAGTCGAAGTGCACGCAAACTAATTCGGACATCCACGATTATAAAAAAAAAAAAAGAATGACCCCTT